ATAATTCACAAACTGACTAAAACACTAGACATGATGCACCGAGACGTGACCCATACTTCCTTAATTAAATCAACAGTGAAATTCCCTCAATGACTTAACCTACAATAAAACTCAGTGCACTGGGATTTGAGTTTGGATATTACACTCAAATCCTCCTGGCAATTGCGGAAATTTGTTAATGTCACATATAAATCATCAGACTAGGATAGGTCTAAGGTCTAAGTGGCAAGGGCGATGACGACATTGCTTATGTGTGTTTAAACGAGGGATATGAAATGAGATCATTAGAATAGTATCTCTTCCCTCAAGGATCTTCTATAAGGGAGAGGAAATGATCCATGATACTATTCGCCGATTCTTGGTGGGATCGTTGCCCCGACACTCTTAGGTTGTCAGTAGTTCTAGCACGATTAGAGTGACTGGCCTGTGGACTGTACATTTTAAAAAGAACTTGAAAAAAAAAAAAAAAAAAGACTTGAACAACTTTTGCATGAAAATTTTTTTATGAAAATTTATAAAGGTTCACAGTCCATGGTTGTCATTTGGATCGAGGTTAAGGACTGCCTTCTGTAGATTGTCGGGTTGGCAACTCTTACCCAAGGCTGGGAAGCACACAGTCCAGCTCTGAGCCCCCACTTTTACCAATGTCTTACACCCAGTCCTGATCTTTCATATGTGGCTAAGGGTTTCTTTTGCTTGTGATTTTTACAATTCATTTTTTCTGACTTTCGCGTTAGGTTTTCTCGTCTTGTTTAATTTTCTTGCAAGTTTATTTAAATCTCCTGCAAATCATACTATGCTCGCAACATTAATAACACAACAGTGGCAGATGCCCAGGTACGCTTTTACAATTTATCTACAACATTTTACTTTATTGCATTTTACATTTCAAGTACATTTTATTTACCTGCGATTTGTTTATTCTCCATGCAAAACCAAAATTGAAGCAAAACAAAATCAAAACATTAACACCAAAAATGAGAAGCACAAATCACCAATCCCAAACACTTAAACCCCTGGAACCGTCGCGACGACAGGAGCTTGGAGCCAACTTTGTGGGCAGCACGACGAGGAGCTTGGACGACGAGGATCTTGGATCGAGCGACAAGAGGATCTTCTTCGGCATTATCCCTTCATAGCATAATAACAACCCATAGGACTTCGAGGTAGCTCGCCTAGCGCGACGTAAATTCTCACATTCCCTCTTTAGGCTCCTGTACAACTAAGTCCTAACTCGACTTAGGTTCTGAGGTTGTCGTATGGTACGACGTAAACGCTCTTATCTTTGTGAGCTATTTGCATAATCAGGCATTATGCAAGTTTAAGTTCCAAATAAGAAAATTGACGGGATTCAACATTTAAATAACATCTTCTCATTAATTAACATCGTCTCCAAAAATATAGCCACACTGTAGGATAGTCTGGGAAGTCACCGAGATTTATCTCGGATCAGTGACATCCCCTACCTTCTCCTTCTTTTGGACTCCTGAAAATAAGTATTCCGTATTGAGTCATTCCCACTTGATTTTCCTCGTCCTATCGTGAAAACCTAAACTTAGAATTCTTGAAGACTAGAACCACCGATCATTATCGAGAGTTTTCTCAAGTGATTCCCGTCACTTAGGATGTAATTAACTATAAGGGCTTGCCTCTATAGGGAACTTGGAACCCAGGTAAAATAAATCTTATTTAATCTTTGTATTAAATAGGGGAATTTGTCGGTCATATATAAAAGGTTCGCAGACCAAAAGGATTGGGGCTATCGCAGAGGTCTACACTTATCTTTCGGAAGGGTGTAGTATTCGCGGTATCAGACATGATTATGCAAACTATTAGACGAATGAGATCTATTTGGTCTCATTTTTCAAAAAATAAAATATACTACTTTCAAAACTCAAACTATATACCTCTTATACTTAAATTAAATTTCAAAAATTATTTTCATATACCATATTTTCAAATTATCAAAATCTATCGAAAAAGTTGACCGACACTTGTCAAAATCTGTCGAAGACAAAACCACCATCCAAAAAGAAAACCCATAAGCATCCGAAAGACAGTTTTTCAACCGATTCTTGTTGAATTGTCCGCATTTATCCCATAGCATAGCAAGGTCATCCCTTCATGTGAATTGAGGAACTCAAATAAAAAAGATAGTACTTTTGAAAGGACTGCGCAACAAGTTAAGGAACAAAAGTCAAGCGAAAAGCGATCGGAAAGCATTAACCAATTGAGAGAAGAGGAAGGGACCTTTCACAGTAAAAATCCAAGCTTGAACTAAAAGCAGGATACCTTTTGATGTGTGCAAGGGATGAGATCAGCAGCTTTGCACCGGAGAGCAAGAGAAATAGCAGAGTTATGGAAAAACTTTATGCGATTTAGATGCAACATCAATCTTATGCCATTATCAATATTTAAAAGATTAAGATTAGGAGAAATATCCCCTACTACTATAACTCTGCAATTAGCAAATCGTTTAATAATCTATCCTAAAAGAGTTATAGAAGATGTCTTAGTGAAAGTGGATCAATTTATCTTTCTTGTTGATTTTATTGTGCTAGATATGGAGGAAGATAAGAAGATACCTATCATTTTGGGAAGATATTTCCTAGATATAGGAAGAGCAATGTTAGATGTGCAGAATGGGGAATTAATTATGCGCATCAATGATCAGATAGTTATATTTAATATTTTCAAATCAATGAAATATCCTGCAAAAGGCAAAAATGATGAATGATTTATAATAGATGTGTTAAGATATCTAAGTGAATGTCTTTTCAAAACAACTTATGAAAAGAAATTCGAAATGAAAAAGTTGGAACACGAGCAAGAAGAGGAATTAGATCAATATGAAGATTTTTACAAGGAAGATTCAAATTATCTTGGTGTGAAATTGGGCTATGATTTAAATAAAAAATATGACACTCAGTAAGGCACAATGACGTACTAATCTATAGAGCTACACGTATGATATAGATGGATATTCAAAACGTTAAATCGTGGATGTATAGCAGATTATCCAGGAATAAAAGATTAACTGACGAGTTTTTGGCTGGCATTAAAGAGTTTGTGCATGTGACGTCGCAACTGTCAGTTTACCTTTCATAAGGTATGTTCGAATGCTCCTATGCAAACACAAGAATCAAACGTACCTAACACCTAAAAAAGTGAAGTTTGGTCTATGTCGTAGAGAATTTAAATCTGATTATTGATATTGGACTTCACATGATGAACTTGAACCAGATGTTCAGTACGGTCATATTGAAGCTTCATCAAGTTATGCCCCTCCAATTGTTCACGATTCTGACATGTATGAGAAAATGATTTATGATGCGAGCAGGACTCATTTTGTTGGAAGCGTGTCTGATGATGACCAGGAACCGTACAGTAAAGCGCAACAATTCTATGAATATTAAATGTTACACAACAACCCCTGTGAAAAGAAAGCACTTCGCACATAGAGTTATAGATCGTCTTGAGAATGTTGAGTATTTAATTTGATTTCAACATGCCTAGGGAATGTTTTAATAATATAGCAACAAAATTAAAGAAGACGAACACTGCAGATAATTTAATTCCAGAAGATTTGTATAGAACTATAAAGTTCGTGGAGAAGTTGGGGCTACTATCTGAAAAGATAAACTGATGCGTCAAAGGATTTATGTTATATTACAAGAAAGATGCACACGAGACGAACTGTCAATTTTGCAGTGGTGATAGGCTCAAACCAAGAATGAGAAAGAATAAAAATCAGAATAATATTCCTTACAAACGTCTCTTTTACTTTTCTCTCCTTTCACGGATCCAACGACTTTTTGCTTCATATGCATAGAACTCCCCACATAACATGGCATAATATCAAATCTGTTAGTGCTAATACAATGACTCATCCCTAGACCGGTGAAACTTGGAAACACTTCGACTACAAATTTTGCAGCAGAACAACGCAACTTTAGGCTTGGATTATGTGCAAATGGATTCACACCTTACAGTCACGCTACAACACCCTATTCATGTTGGTCAATTATTACCATGACATATAATTTGCCCCATGATATGTGCATGATTGTGTCATTCTTATTTCTAAAGTTGATAAACACCTTGGTATAGTATTTTTGGTATTGGAGGTTATTTTGATCACCTCTCACTTATCTGGAAGTGAGAGTTAAGTTAAAGCTTATTATGAAAAATATTAAATGTAATGGTTATACATTATGAAGTGTGTATATACTAGAAATATTGCTATTAGACAACCTAATTAAAGGAGATCTAATTACATATTTATTTCTATATTAGGTATATTATGTTAGATAAACTAATTAGAAGAGATATAATTACAGGATTTTTTCTATACTAGAAATATTCTTAATTTGTATGTTTTGATCATCTCTTAGTTATAGCAGGAATTAAGCTTGATTTTTTTGTGTAGAGTTATAACTTTATTTCGGCCTTTTTTTTTACTCTCCACCTGTTCGTAGTGGAATAGCCTAAATCACACTGTCTTTGATCGCTTGCTTATTGTATGATTTTGTTTATAGCATTATTTTGCACAACAGTTGGCTCATCTATAAGAAAATATTTGTATCTTATATTCGTAACGCACGAGTTTTCCTTTCCTCTTCGTATTCATGCCTAAGTGTTTTCACTTCACTCTCCACCCATCACCTCTCTTGTCCAAATCGCCCGAAGGCAAAACCACCATCCAAAAAGAGAACCCATAAGCATCCGGAAGACAGTTTTTCAGCCGATTCGTGCCGAATTGACTGTTAGGGTTTCCTATCCGGAAGAATACGGTCGGCATTTATCCCATAACATACAACGTCATCCCTTCATGCGAATTGAGAAACTCAAATGAAAAATATAGTACTTTTGAAAGGACTGCGCAGCTAGTTAGAGAAACAGAAATCAAGCGAAAAACGACAGGAAAGCATTAACCAATTGAGAGAAGAGGGAGGGACCTTTCACAGTAAAAATCCATGCATGAACTAACAGCAGGATACCTTTTGATGTGCGCAAGGGATGAGATCAGCAGCGCTGCGCCAGCGAGGAAGAGAAGTAACAGCACGGTCGTGATTCTTGGAAGTAGATCAGGTCGGCGTAAGCCGTAGAGGGAGAGAAATTGTGAGCGGCACATTCTTTATTTAGAGAAATTTACATAAATTCATATAATTCTTATGCGCTTGCATGCCTAAAAATTTGAGTGATGTGCGAGTAAATATCTATGTTTAGGTGTTAGATTTGTAAATATATTAAAATTTGTGGTACGTATGTAAATGCCCTTAGACAAGCCAAGTGGCATTGCTAAAGTAAGCGTTCCGCGAAATAGACCCGGCGGCCCCGCGTTCTCAATTGATAATACCTCCATTGCCCGGCTCCCCAATATCTCGTGAAGCCTGCACTAGCTTCGGCCGATCCCGAAACTGCACGAAAGTCTTCAGCCCTATCGTCTCAAGCAAAGTCTTTGATAATTCCTCTTCCACCGTCACTCGGGTGTGGAGTCCCGATCGACACTGCTACTTCTAATCCTTGGTCTACTTTCGGATTGGTGAACGGTGTTACGGACAGCCAACGACTAAAGTGGTAGCGGCAACAGTGGCTGACAACGAACTACAGTGGTGGTGAAATGTGGCGGTGGCTTGCAATGGGCAGCGGCAGGTGACGACGGTTTGGTGGCAACTGCAAGTGATTGATGAAGACGGCAGACGAAGATGGGCAGCAAGCAGGCAGTGGAGGTGCAAGCGGTCGGAGAGACGACACCAATCCGGAGGGGTGGGTGTTTACCTATAATATTTTACATGAATGGTGAAGTTCAAATTCAACCATATCGACCAAATCCAAAATTAAGCCAAAATGATTATGGTATAAAATTTAAATTCATTCATATTTTACATTGTATCTGTAATTATTCATATCAAACACTTAGTTTTCTCAAATAACCACAAAAGAATCACACTATACCACAAATTCACTCAACCAAATAACCCTAAATTTGGTTTAATCAAGGAAGTGAAAAATCATAACCATATCACAATTAAAAGTATTCTATTATTATTATAAGTAAAACATTTTAGAAGAAGACTTTTCCTTCAAATGAGAATACATCAATATAATGTACTATATATAAATTATAAGAGATCACTCATGTAGCAATGGTAAGGACAGCCATGAAGCCTTAGAGTTGTCTTCTATAGATGATTTGTGATTTGTGCTATTATTTTTCTTGTAAGTGGGGAGATAAGTGGCTAGGAAGATCTACATTGATGACTAGTTAACCTCGGTCAATAATAGTAATAGCAACCACTATTCCCACCAAGATTGGTGCTCGCTATTACTAGATGCTAGACATTGGTGATGATCTGGGCAGTAGGCTAGATGAAAACAACATGCATCAATCAGTTTAGGCATTAGTGGGGATGTTGTGTGTTGGCCTTAGTAGCATTTACGAGAGGTAGTTTAGGTGGGGATTGCATTGATTGACATACATTTACCGTGCTAGTGATCACGAGTGTACTTTTTTGTGACAATAAACATTACGACAATAAACACTAGCATTAACGTCGAATGTTGTTAACTAATATAATCATAATATTAATGGTGACAGAGCACTTCAGTCTTACTAGTGACAAATACTATGAAATATTAGACTTTGACTTTAGTTGAACACATGACAATTGGAATTTACACACGCATCAGAGTTGATAGTAATGATGAAGGATATCTAATGTATTGATTAGGTGGGAATGATATGTGTAGATCTTGTTGGCAACAATGGGTGTTAGTTTTGTTGGAAATAACGAGCATTAATCTTGGAGGGAACAATAGGTAGTAACTTTGATGATGTTTGGAGCTCAAGTATTTTTAAGTTAGTCTCATTAAAATTTTCATTTTTAACTAGAAGATTATTTAAAATTTTTTGATGGTTTATATCGATCATAGTTATTTTTGTAAGGTTTTGATCTAAAAATTTAAGTGAATTGAGTTCTATAAACTTATATCAAAGTTCATGATTATTGAAATGACTTCTTTGAAAACATGAAGATATTAATTGTAGGAAATATGTTGCTTCATTTAAATTAAAATAAAAAACCGCAAACATTTATTTGCATAAGAGTTAACAAATTAGATGTTATGCATGAATAAAAAATGACAGAAAAATTAACTCAGCATATCATAATCAAAATTAATTCAAATTAAGTATTAAAATTATTCAATTTAAGTTTTGCTAAGTGTAATATTTGAATAATCTTTAATATATTACAATACTTTCATCTAAAAATAAAAGAAAAGTGATAACTCATACTCGTATCTTAGTTCTGCAACAAAACACTCCTAAGAACTGCAAAAGTACATTGGAAATAAAAGAAAAGACTCGACCAGCAAGAAGCTAATTTTAGCGAGAAAGCCAACAAAAATGCAATGTATGATGAGTTGTGTCTAATGGAGGAGCTCAGCAACACCTGCAAGCAAAAGTTAGCATGTCATTAAATGCTCCCTCCTTTTTATTATGGTTGTGTGTGTGCATATATATTGACACGACCTCCTGCAGAAGAACGTTTTAATACACTACCATGCATATCAAACACACAAACATACTAAGAGCACAAAGCAAGAAAGAAGTCTGGTTAGGGCAACGAAACCAATAAAAAATAATAGTCAGACATCAAAATACTGCTTAGCATATCAGACCTAGCCTAACACACCATCTAACGAGAAGTGTCCTAACAACACCTAAGTGTACAGGGTGAAGTCTCTGGTTATTGTATGACTTTGATCCAAGGGATCTAAAGCACTGCCACACCAATCCCGTTCTAAAGATCCAAGGGATCTAAAACACATCACAACGAATGGGTGACATTTTAAAGAGGTTGTCTCACATATGCCTAACATTTATAGTTTTAAAGTATGCGGATAATATTTATATTATAAAAAATATCCAATAGTTTAAAATAACGGACTATAAAATGTGGGTCCATGACACATATGACCTGCTTTTGAGTCCTTAGATCCTTAGCAAAATCATACTATTTGTTGTTTGTGATATAAAAACTTGTATTGCTCGCTGAGGTATCCTCACGGGTAATTCTCGTTTTAGTATCACGACCAACAAACCAGTCTCTCTCTTAACCAGTAGAACAAACCATCAAAGCATATGGGCAAGTCATACAATTATGTAAAAAGTCCACAATGTGATTGTTCGACCAAAGTACGAAACCATCACAACGGACAACCAGAAGGGTGAATTACACACCATGCAAATGGATGCAAGAATTTTACATGCAACTTGACGCACACCAACGAGATGTACCGGTAAGATAGACTTCCTATGGAGAGGAATTATACTTGCCCTAGAGACCCGGAGCGCCATGCAACCAGCAGGCACTGGCTAGAAATAAGGCCGAAATCAAAATTTGATGCTAACAAATCCCATGGCGCTGAACAAATATAAATGACGCAATACAAGCGCCACTAAGGGAAGAGGTCGAAATCAGTCAACAAAACCTATAGGAGGTTATTCCAATGTTTCATGTAGAGGTAGAACATCAACTATATCCAACATCAAATGCCGAATATGTAATAAAAATGGTTACTCCACTTCCATTTGTTGGCATAAGACAAATATTGAGTATACACCATCAACTCCAGCTCAAGCCCTCAATGTCACCTCCAAGGAATGGGTTTTAGACTCCAGTTTGATGGCACACTTCATGTCAGATCTAATTCAACTTCAACCAGCTACATCTCATCATGGGATTGAACAAGTTATGGTGGGCAATGGACAAATGGTTCCAATCCAACTTAAAGGTGATGGCATTCTTCCCACCCCAAACCGTAAGCTCAAACTCTCTTAAATTCATCATACATTCCTTCTTTTCTCTGTTCTTATCAATTCTTCTCCCTGTTCTTACAAAGACAAGGAACTTGGGTCTTGGTCCCTAGCGGAGCGGAGCGGAGCGGAAGAATCTGTCCAAATCGGGAAGTTACGTTATGTGGGTTGGGGGTGTTGGGTCAACGCCCCGCTATACGGTACATGGGTAATTTGGGAATTACATATTGTACTGTAGGGCTTACTCTAGGATTATAAATAGACCTATTTGTAATCCTAGGTCTTTGAGAGAGCTGAATTTTGTATTCTGTAATCTTTTCTGAATATTGAAAAGGAGGTCGCCGCTCTGCTCCCGAGGATGTAGGCATCTTTGCCGAACCTCGTTAAATCTCTGTGTTCTTCTGGATTTGTGTCGATTACTGTTTTTTCTTCGCCCTTATTTTCTTAACAGTTTCTTACTTTCACTGAATTCTTTCTCACAAGGGGCTTTCAAATCAGCAAAATGGATCCCTCGCTTCTTATCTACAATCAAAAGCTGGTTCTATCTTCATTCTTCTTTATGTGGAAGACATTCTCATCACGGGTAATAATATTAAACTCATTTCTAAGCTGACTACGGCTACTCAATTCCAGCTCAAAAATGTTGGCATGGTCGGATGCTTCTTGGGAATTGATGTCTAAAAATCTACAAAGTCATTATTTTTTCAGCCAACAAAGGTAGGAACTTCAATTAATTGATTCTGCAGGACAAATGGAATGTCGAACCATCAACACCCCTATGCCCGTGAAGACACATGCTACCGTCCTAGATGCTCCATTTCATAATCCAAAATTGTATTGTAAACTGACAAAAGGCACTTGACATGCCCAGACATTGCATATGTTGTTAATCGTTAATGCCAGAAAATGCATGTGCCTAAGACTTTAGATTATATGTGGTTGGTTCATCTCTTCTGCTACCTCTAGGGAACGCTTCATTATGGCATGCTCATCGAACCAGACAATCTTCAACTCACATTCTATGCTGATTCGATTGGGCAGAGGACCCTTCTGACTGCAAATCTACTAATGAGGTGTGCTCATTTCCTGGCAACACTCTTATTTCCTGGCAAGTACAATAACAATCCACATTTGCTCACTCCTCTACGGAAGCCGAATACCGAGCATTAGCCATAGCTACCACCGATATACTATGGCTTAGGTGTCTCATTAAATAATTTGGGTATCTTGTAACTCAGTTACGCTTCTTTATTGTGAGAACATTTTGATAATATCTCTGATAAAGACCCCATTTTTCATGTG